GTTGGCATAATGGAGAGCTTGCATTGGTGGGAGATAAATTTAAGTGTAGAAATGCACAGCCAGGTTGATACAAGGCAGCTTATGTCAACCTAACTTTGTAGTGTAGACTAGGCCTAAGATAGTTATGCAATTTTCCTCCCTATTTTAAGTTCTTCTAACTTTCCAAAATTTGGTCTGAAATTTCTCATGCTTGTTTTCAGAGAGCCTAAAGGTGATTTTTGTCATTGTTGAGACTTTTGGGTGAAGCCAAGTGGATTTTTTTTAAGATACTATGTAGGAGCAAGAAAAATGCTTTACAGGTTTGAATGTTTTGCCTAAGATGGTGGGTTTTTTTTTTTATTTTTTTTTTTGTGTCTTATTTTAAGTATTCAAATTTGGCGTGTTCATAAGTCTTCAAGGAGAAACACAATCTTTACTAAGATACTACATTAGAAAATGTTTCATTAAGAAATAGTGAAGTTAAAAGTGATAAAAATTTGCTTACTGTGATTACACACACAAATAAATTGCCTGTGAAGTGAAGTTTCTAGTTCCATATAGGCTTTAGGCACTTTTAGTCTGCTTGTAGGGAAGACGCTTTATTTGCATACTGTCAAAGATATTTATGGTAGTATATAGAACAGTAACACACACATAATGATCAACCTCTATCTATGTTGGAATGGTGGTTGGGAAAGAGAACCAAAGACAGAACTTTGTTTAGATTTCTTGTAGAATTTACAGGGGCTGAATTTTCAGAAGTGCTGAGTATCAGCAGCTTCTACTGACTTCAACTAGAGTTCTGGTAACTCAATTTTGAAATTCAGGCCAACAGATTTTAGTAACATGCTCAGATACCATGGCGATCTCAGGACAGACAAATAAAACCCCCATGGATTTTACAATCTAATTTATATAGAAACATGAGTAATGATCAGCACCACATTAATATTAGTGGGGTGATCAAACAGGAGAAGAGAGAAAGAAGTGCTTAGGAAAGCCCTTTATAAAGTGACCGTTGATGGTGGGTGGGTGGGTGGGTGGGTGTGTGTGTGTGTGTGTGAGAGAAAATTTTAGGCTGCAAGCATTTTAGTTACGCTACATTCACTTGTTGGTTAAAATAAAGTCTGGCAGTGGGGGTGCCTGAGTGGAGATTATGATGTGATATGTTGCTAGTTAGTTAGGAGTAATGAATTTGGGGAGGCATTCAAAGGAGATAAATTGCTCTCGTCTTTCCACCTTCTCCCGTTTCTCCCTTCCCAGGACCTCCCCCCCACTGCTGCCTTCTCACTAGCCCTAGAGGGGTCAGCTTCCTGCTCTGGCTGTTGTACCCCTGACACTATTAAAAGTTGCACTCTGCTGCGATTCTTCCAGAATCTTCCTGACACCTACAGTCCTACAGGGGGAGGAGTCAGCAAGGCCATTTACATAGCAGCTAACTCTTTAAAGGGCAAATACCTGGGGACTGTTAAAAGGGTTGTTCAAGAGTTCACAGTTTTGATGAATCACAGAGGAATGGCATGGATTGATAAGGTCACTGACTCTGTGATTAGATACATCCTCCCTATAACAGCAGTTCTTTGTCTCTTTTCTGCTTTTGGCAGTGTTTTTCAGTGGTTTGCACAAAACAAAGCCCACAGTCTCTTTTCTAGCAGTGGCCTTACAATCTGAAACAAAAGCCACCATTATTCCACCTTAGCTCAGGAAGCCAAACTAGGACCCCTAACACTTTTGCTGGCCTCAGAAGACATACAGATTGTTGGTGATTTATTTTAATGCCTCTAAAGTTAAATCACAAAGAGATGGATGCTTTCTTGAAGCCCAGCTATATGGAAGTTTCAAATACATAAAACAATGTATAGCAAGAAAAAAATTGTTTTGCAGCTAAATTTTGTGGACTTTTTAATTTGTATGCCTTTGAAATGAAATGTACTTGATCAGTATCACTAACAAAAAAAATCAATTTCAACTATTGGCAGTGTGACTGCACAGCCAAGGAGTAATAACAAAAAAAGTAACTTTTTGCCCTATGGAAATAGTTCCCAATTTTTTTGTAGAACCTGAGCCACTGCAATGCTTCAAACTCTGGCTGGTTTCCTAACTTTGCTAAAAATATTTTACATTTATTTATCAATCAAGATTGATGAATCTGGGCAATGTTACCTGTCCGGTTTGGCAGTCTCTACGTAAAAGAATAAATGGACACAAATCAGACGTCAAGAATTATAACATTCAAAAACTAGTTGGAGAATAATTCAGTCTCCCTGGCCACTCGATTACAGACCTAAAAGTCGCAATATTACAACAACAGACTCCAACGAGAGACTGCTGAATTGGAATTAATTTGCAAATTAGACACCATTAAATTAGGCTTGAACAAAAGACTGGGAGTGGACGGGCCATTACACAAAGTAAAACTATTTCCCCATGCTTATTTTCTCCCTACCCCTATAGTTCCTCATATCTCCTTGTCAATTGCTGGAAATGGGCCATTTTCATTACCACTACAGTTTTTTTTCTCTCCTGCTGATAAAAGCTCACCTTAACTGATCACTCTCCTTATAGTGTGTATAGTAACACTCATTGTTTCATGTTCTCTGTGTGTGTGTATATCTATCTATCTCTTCCTACTGTATTTTCCACTACATGCATCCGATGAAGTAGGCTGTAGCCCACGAAAGCTTATGCTCAAATAAATTTGTTAGTCTCTAAGGTGCCACAAGTACTCCTGTTCTTTTTGCGGATACAGACTAACACGGCTGCTACTCTGAAACCGGTAATTTTTCTGTAGCTCAAGCTTCTGGAATAATTTAATATGTGAGAATCTCAGCTTTCATTTAAAATACAAAACAAAAGTAGGTTTCTAGCCTTCAATAATGCCAAAATTAACTGGAAAACATGAACCTTGAAAGTTTAACATCATGAGGGAAATTTAAAGATCCCAATTTGTTATTTATTAAAGTCTAATGATTTTTTTTAGCCAGTCATGGTTAATGGTTTTTGAATGCTTGGGATTGGCAATACTGTAAATTTCAGAGATTCCACAATTCCCACAGAAATAAATTGGAGTTTTGGGGACTCAGCACCACAAAAAAGTCAGGACACTTTTATTTAGGTGCCTAAATATGAATTTTGGCCTAAGCTTTCCATTTTAGTTAGTTATTGGGCCTGATTCTGCTTTTGAAGGCACGTGTGGTTCCATTCGATTTCAAAAGGAATATGCAGGAATTACCAGAGGGCACAATTTGATTGATTTCAAACTCATGTAATTACTCTGGAGTTTTTATTTAATACTGCATATATTATAGACACATCCTCCTAAGAAGTCTGGTAAGTGTTCTAAGTGTTAAAGGAATAAATATTAATGAAGTTCATATTTGGCCAGAACCTGCATACGATTTAAAAATCTCTTTCGACACATAGCCAAGATGCAGTGGAATTTTTAACTATGCAAGTGCTCACTTTTATTGTACTATTCAGCATCTTAAAATATTCTGATTCCTCCCCACCATCTTGGGATGTACTTTCACCTTTGGTACGCAGAGTTCTCTACTGAACACAGTTGCATAGTCCACCAGCATAATTTAGTTGAAAGTTAACCAAATCCTAAAAGCTTGTGTGGAGTTTAACTAATCTCTTGCAAATGGTTTGTTTATAACCCTGATAGGTGATTTGCATTGCATATAGAAAGTGAGTATCTGGAGAATTTGAACAAAAGGTCATAGCTAGTTTTCCGGATCTTCTTGAACAACATACTGTATCACTTTGATGTTAACTATACTCTTTAAGGGGACTATATTAAATATTGGTAAACAAAGTGATTTTAAAATTGAAAAGTTTAAGGTTTGAGTATAACTGCCTAAATACTGTTAATCAGTCTTTTAAAATGGACTAAAATGAAAGGTTAATGTAGCAGGATTTGTTTTAAAGATAATGCTGTCTGGGGGGGGGGGGGAAGAGTGAAAATAGTCTTTTGTGCTGCATAAGAACACAGGCATTATACTGATTTGAGCATTTGTGCCTCAATAAGATTTTGTAGCTCCTTAAAAAAGGACAGTTTTATTCATTGTATGAATAGTTCTCACCTGAATTCTAGAGTCCTTGGTAGTAAGCATGTTTCTATGGTATTAACAAAGGGCCCATTTCTAAAGTGGTGCGCAGTCATTCAGCCACACATTTCCTGCTGATCTTGACATGTTAGAGCTTAACAGCTATACACTGAACTGAAAATTTGATTTACACTCAGTAGTATAAACTATTAAACATGTACCTCACTTACAAATTTTAAGAACATGTGTATATATAGTTTTTGTGCAGTTCCTTTGAAGTTTGGCATTCAAAACATGTAAACACATTTTTTGAGAATTTTGTGTGCATATATATTTCCCATCAACATGCAACATCTACTTTTTTTTCAAATACTTTGGCAAATAAAATTGCATACCCACTTAAACCCATGCACAGACAATTATTTGAACCCTGTATCAAGTGTCTTTGCTAATGTCTGTCTAATCTCAGCACTTGGAGAAACTAATTGTTTTTCACATCAAACTGCATTCATGTTCTAGAATAATAGATTTATCATTTTAATTCTGTCTCTGTGGAAAACAAAATAAACAAAGGCAGATAAGTGCTAAACAGGTCTAAATAAACGTCTTGATTAATCTGCTTTGATTTTTTGATGTCAGTGACCTGTTTCTGATGAAGTTGAGTACTCAAAATACCCAATCTTTTGAGGGGACATATGTTCCAAAGTACCCCCTAAGACACCCTAAACAGGGGAAACAATCATATCCATAAAGGTACAGGCATAAAAAATCCAAAAATAGCACAACATTTTCCAAAATAGTTTGATTTAATTAGTTCTCATTTTAGGTATGGTTTTTATGAGCGGTAAGGAGGAGATGTGAAGCTGTATTATGTTAATACGCAGTATAACTATTTTGTGCTAAGATCTATCAAGCCAAGCAAGTGGTCAGGCTGGGTCCTGAAGCCAAGTGCTTCAGGGAAATTTGTTGGTGATGCAGCAGGCGGCACATTTCTTTTTTAGTCGTGACCGAAAGAGCCAGCAGGGTGAAGAATCCTTATATGCACACACAGGTTGGGCAGGTAAGGGGATGGGTGAAATTCTCTCCCAGTTTTTCTAGGCAGCTGCTAATGCAGAGAAAATGTATTTGTGATGAGATAGGACCCTGCAGCATTAGAGGTTGGGACAGAGATCCCCAAAGTGTGGGATGCACCCCCCTGGGGGGCATGAAGAACCATTGGGGAGGTGCTGCAGGGTCCGGGCCAGCCCCAATGGGGTCGGGGAAGGAGCACCACACAGCCCCTCCCTGCCCCCTGCTCTGCTCCGTTTCGGCCCCCAGCCGCGTCCCCGACTCCTGGCCCCGTGCGTGCCTCCCCCGTCCCAATCGTCAGCCACTGGGCACGGCTCCATTCCCAAACCGGGGCTGAGGCTGGGGGCAAGGCTGGGAGTGGAGCCGCACCTGGCTGCAGGGCCGGACTGCTGGCCCCCACCTCCAGCCACAGCCCTGGCTCTGGCCCCTGCCCCACCCCCATCTGCAGCCCCAGCCTGGGCCTCCTTAACCCTGTCCGCATTCCGCCCCCGCCCCCCCAAGCCATGGCCCCACTCCTGAGCCCAGCTCAGGAGCGGTGGGGGGCGCGGACCTCAAAAGTTTGGGGACCGCTGGGTTAGGAGCAGTCATTTGATCAGTGCTGGCCTGTACTCCTTTTGCATGAGCTCAGGTAGCGGGAGTGTAGCACTGATTAGCACGATTTCCCTGCTCTGCTTTGGCATGGGAGGGTGTGTCTACACTGCAATAAAAAAAAAAACCCGGTCACCTGGGCTCCAGCCTGAGCCTGAACATGGACATTGCAATTTTATAACCTCACAGCCTGAACCTGAGTCAGCTGGCATGGCCAGCCACGGGTGTTTTATTGCAGTGTAGATGTATGCTGAGAGTGAAAGGAGGGGATAGATGTGACAAGTTTCATGGCAGCAGAAAATTCTGCAGCAAGGGGCAAATTCTGTGTCCATGGAAATGCAGAATTTTTTTTGCGGTGCACCTCTCCTGAGGTGGCTGTATTTCATTTGAGGGTGAAGTGAGCCGTGTATTTACCTAGTGTATCAGTTTAAGTCTGCAAAGGGCTTTGGGATCCTCCAGTCTGAAGGGTGCTATAAGTGTAAGATGTTATTTTGCAGTCTCCTTTTTATTCTCAACTTCTTGGGAATAGGGGGATAGTACATTACTTTTGTAATTGGGAACTTTCTTCTTGGCTTATAGGGTGTGAGGACTGCAGCAAAAGCCTTATAGGAGAATGCAAACTCCATGGACCACTCATCAGGGTTAAAGACAGGGTTATTCCCAGTCGAGCCCACCTTACCCTACCTCACTACCTCACTTTGCGAGTGCTGGAGCTGCGAGCTGGGAACCAACAGAGTAAGTATCGTAGCTCTTCCAGCTATGGCTTGGGAAAGAAGCGACAAAAAGGTACTAACACTGCTTGTTTTCAGAAGTAACTTAGAGGTGGCATTTTGTTCAGATAGGCTATTTAGAACTATCTTAATTTTCGGTTGAGCACAGCTAAATCCCAGAACCCACCACTAATGGAGACGGAGGGGCAGACAGGCCAAACCTGAGCAGTGCTGTGACCCCATGCACCTGGTGACAACGTCACTTGGTTTGGGGGCCTCATCAAAATGTATTTCTAAGATTTCATTGATTTTATTCAAATTCATGATTTGTGACCTCCATGACAAAATTGTAGTCCTACCTATAGATACTTTAGTTAATTATGACATAGGCGTGCAAAGGGGGAAAGAGGTTCAATAAACAAAGTAGCAATGAAAGAAACAGAATTCAGATGGCATATGAAGGTTCAGTACAATTCACCTTGTCAGCATTGTAGAAAGATTGTATTGTTTCTTTCAGGCCACATGGTAGTTTGTTGGAGTTTGGAGAGAGAGGGGGAATTACAAACTCCTTGCTAATTTACAGATATTCCCCAATGATTGTTATATAACTCTAATTCTGCCTAGATAGTACTGCAGAAAATGAAGGTCTGCTGTGCAGTACTATCAATGTTAATATGGGGGAATAATGGAACATGTAAGATAGCTTACTTTGTACTTTCATAGCTATACCCACTGATTGCTGGAGAGGACAGCCTTGTCAAACATGCCAAAGTGCAGAACCCTGGGGAAGTGATATTTAGTAGCTTACAATAGCCCTGCTGATGCTCATGTCATTTTGACTGTTCCATGCTTCTAGCCCCACAGTTTAATATGGAAAATTGGCAATTCACCGTGAATTAGGTGGTTTTGGAAATGTTACCCAAAGTCCCATTTTAAAAAGTGACTGAAAATTTTACCCATTAGAGCAGTGGTTCTCAAACTTTTGTATTGGTGACCCCTTTCTCACAGAAAGCCTCTGAGTTTGACCCCATTTATAAAGTAAAAACACTTTTTATATTTAATATTATTAAAAATGCTGGAGCTGAAGTGATGTTTTAGGGTGGAGACTGACAGCTCAAGACCCCCCATCTAATAACCTTGCGATCCCCTGAAAGGTCACGACCCCCAATTTGAGAACCTCTGCATTAGAGGTACTTGCCTGATTTACTCCTCAGCCTGAATCTAGGAGAGGAATTCCACGTGTCCATCCTGTTTTACACTTGTTCATTTCCCTCAGTTGAAGATATTTGGGATTTAGATCATGATGTGCATATTCTTCTTAGACTGGTCTTATTTTTATTCACAGTCCTTGGAGTGTTTGCTAAGAAAGTTATACAGAAGAGAACACAATTTGGTCCTTATGTTGGGAAACTATCTACAAAACTTACCCACTATGATGACAACAGGCTAGTTCTACAGGTAATGAACTCAGAGGTTCAGCTGGGCTTTGGAGGATTTTCTTTGCTGGGTTCTAAACTATTGCAGCAGGGTTTGTAATATTTCAAGTGGCATAACCATCTCTCTCTTTCCTATTCAAGTTTCATAAGCAAGAGTATTCATACTGCACATGCAGTCATGTCCAAAGTTTCATGATTTTCAGGTCAGTGTAACTTTAATTGCCAACTGGTTTTCCAATTTTGATCTAGTGATGCATAATTTGATACAAACATAATATATGATGCAGACCAATTTGATCCTCTAGTGTAATGCTGAGGTGCTGGCATGTATTTGCCCAATCTAGAATTTGTCCAATCTATTTTTAAAATGTCTATAGCCAGGGGTTTCCACTAGTTCAATGGGAGTGTTATTCCTCAGTCATTGCTGTTAGGAAATTTTTCCAGAGGGTTTGAAAGAGCAGGCAGAGCTTTGGCAAAGTCTGTCCTTTTATATTTTCACTAACCAGTAATCCAGGCACCATTTGACTTTATGAAAAACACAACCCACTCACACCAAAGATTAATCTTTTTCTGTGGGTGAGTCAGCAAGAGTGGCAGCAACTGGTTAAGGCACCTGTTCATTGAGGAAAACAGGATAATAGGGGGCAAATATTTTTTAATGTAAACCACAAGAGAGACAACCTTTGACATATTGCTTATAGCATTTGTTGTTGTTTTGTTTATTTTGGTTGTAAGCTATTTAGCCATGTCTTCCTATGAGTTTGTACAGTGCCCAGCACAATGATGAGAGCTTTTAGGCACTTCCCCAATGCAAATAAATAATATACATCTTAAAGTTGTGTACAGTTGTATCTAGGTATGCATGTACCATCCTAATCAAGCACACCTTTGTTTAAATTTAAAAAATACTTGTTTACAGTTATTAGCCTTGAATCCCTTCTGGATTACACTATCCACTGCTAGCCTAGCCATCTGCAGGCAGGCCCATGGACAACCAGTGCCACCCTGAAAGTGACCAGCAATCGCTGATACAATGCACCTCGTAGGAACCCCACTAGCAAAGGCTGCCTATAGCCTCTGCCAGCAAGTTAAAGCTGTCCTCCGATGGAACCCCTTTGGGAGGTTGACAGTGCAAAGAACACCCACCCGTCTTCTGGGGGTGAATACCCACCTCTGCCCCCCTCCAGGCACAGCAACTTGTACTGGGGCAGGGAGTATAATTTATAACAACTATGCCAGTTTGAGTGAATCAAACACTCGTTAGTTTCCTCCTCTTAGCTGCCTTTTAACCAAGCTTTACACAATTCCTCTGTCAGTCCCTCTATCCCCTTAATTATCTTAAGATTTATATTCTAAATGGCTGATGAGTTACCTCATGAGATGGAGAGAATGGCGTGAGACTTTACCCTGAATTTCTTTCAGCACAACAGCAGGAGCTTTGCCTTCTGTCTGCCAGAATCCTGACTGTGACTGAGACCAGCATTTATGCAGCAGAAATGTATTTTCATCAGCAACTACAATGTTAGATGGAAAGCTCCCAAAGGCAATGGAAATGTAGAGTGTTTCACATAATTGCTTCTTAACTCTCAAGAGCTTTCAAATGACCAGTGGAGCAGATAAATGGCATATTTGTGCATGAAATGTCAACATACTGAAAATGGACATACTGCTACAGCAAGACAATCCATCTTTCAGTGCATGTCACTGAAGGGTGACATCCTGTCAGCAGATCTGAAGCCTCTTGCCCAACACATTCCTTTCTTTTTCCATCTAAAAGGAATCCAGAAGGAATAAAGTAAAGCAGAGAGAATGAGACACTTTCCAGGCATTGTCATTCATTAGTATGATGTCCTTATTGTTATGGGAATACAGCATGTGGTCAGTCAAGAGGGATGAGTGTTGACATATCAGTATACTGGATGTTATCCCATTAGACTTATCTGAATTATATTATTGTTCCATGCAAAACAGAACTTCAGTACAGCATTGAAGGTTGAGATATCAAGCACTTAAGAAATGCATTACAGTTCAAAGCTTATCTTTCTCCCTGTCTGCTTAGGCTTAAACCTTAAAATAGCTTTTTACATCATTCTAAAAATTGTCAAATAATATAACCTGTAATTACATATTTCAAAAAATACCTGGTTATTTCTATACCTGGGCCCCTCAGAAATTGTACAGTCTTAACTTTTTTTTTCAGTTGGCTCATTTAAGTGTCACTTATTTTGTTTTTAAAAACATCTTTGTATGGAAAAAAAATATAAAAAGCATTGTCCCTGACTCAAATTCAACAAAAAAAGGTTAGTGTGTTCCTTTCCACAGCTCTGTTGTAACTCATCCCTTCTCCCATAACCTCTCTCCTTTTTCTTCAGGTATTGAAGGACGGCAGAAAGTACTTTCTGGATGCTCCCAATGAAGACTGTGGTAACTGGATGATGTTTGTCCGACGGGCCCGGAACCAGGAAGAACAGACCCTTGTAGCCTATCAGTACGCTGGAGAAGTCTACTTCACAACTGTTAAGGTAGTTAGGGCTACACCACCTCACATGACTACCATTCAAATGATAGCTTACTGTAACCAAAAACTGAGGAGACTGGCTCACCTCATTACAGATGAGAGGCTGATTATAGTTAAGTAACCTCCTCTCCATTACATACATCTCTTCATAACACTTAATGTTCAGTCAATCAAACAGGCTGCTTACTGGGCCTTCTGACTAGACCAGGGGTTCTCAAACTGGGGGTTGGGAGGTTATTGTATAGGGGGGTCACAAGCTGTCAGTCTCCACCCCAAACCCTGCTTTGCCTCCAGCATTTATAATGGTGTTATAAATTAAAAACACATTTTTATATATTTAAGGGGCATCTCACTCAGAGGCTTGCTATGTAAAAGGGGTCACTAGTACAAAAGTTTGAGAACCACTGGACTAGACCTAATGTGCCATGGAATCTGCTGCAAGGGCTGGGAAAGAAAATGATAGTGGTGGTAAAAAAAACAACTCAAATAGCATGGTTGATAATTGTAGTTTAAGCATGGCTGTTATAATTTTTTTTTTTTAATCTGAATTAGTTTGTGAGGAGCTTGCTCTAGCAGTATTATATCCAGCACAGCTTTGCTCTGGAAAGGACAAACAGTACCTTTCTTTTCTTACTTATATAATGAAACAACTTTTTGGAGACCAGTTGCTCAGAAACTGGATACTAAACAGAAAACTTTGAAAGCTCTGCAGTACTGAATACTATACTCGAGAACAGTGATTTAGTTGGAGACTTACTTTTCAGAATTTCTAGCACTGTGATCCTGTTGCAAGGTGACCAGTTTCTGATAGATTCTCTGGATTATTATTTTTCTGAGAGAAACTCTGTATTTATAAGTATCAGAGGTGTAGCCGTGTTAGTCTGGATCTGTAAAAAGCAACAGAGAGTCCGGTGGCACCTTTAAGACCAACAGATGTATTGGAGCATAAGCTTACGTGGGTGAATGCCCACTTCGTATATAGCAACTTGCTTCTTGGGTTTGTTTGTTGTTTTGACCACTATAAAGACTACAGCAGCTGTAAATCGTAGTTTACTATAAGACTATGCAATTTTATTCCCTTACCATCTCACAAAGCTGAAGCTTTTCTAGTAATGGAGTAAATGTGCCATATTTTTCTTGTTTTGCTTTTTTTATTAACCATATTTTACTTGAGCTACTGTATATCATGTCTAAAGAAGTAATACTTTAGAGGCCTAGGAGTTAGGAACTCACAATATCTAATACCACCTCTGCCCCATATTTTCTGTGCGACTTTAGGCAAGTTATTTAACTGATTTCTCTCCATTTCTCCATCTGTAAAATGGGAATAATACTTACCTACTTCACAGGAGTGTTGCAAGAATTAGTTAATGGTGTAAAGTGCTTTTAAGATATACAGTGCTATAGAAGTATTATTAGTATTGGGCTACGTAAGAAAGTTAGTGTAAAAAGTGACAGGTGGTAACATGTAACAGATTGTCACATTGTCTTGTAGAGGTGAATAATAGATCTGTATTCAGGATTCTGGAGCAATCCGCAGTACTTTTGTGATTTTATACAAAATATGATTACATCTATGCTATACAAGTAAAACCAGTAGTATCATTATTTGGAAAGCACAAACAAATGCTTTTTAGGACTGTCAAGCGATTAAAAAAATTAATTGCGTTAATCGCACTGTTAAACAATAATAGAATACCACTTATTTAAATATTTTTGGATGTTTTCTACATTTTCAAATATACTGATTTCAATTACAACACAGAATACAAAGTGTACAGTGCTCACTTTATATTTATTTTTAATTATAAATATTTTCATTGTAAAAAACAAAAGAAATAGTATTTTTCAGTTCACCTAATACAAGTACTGTAGTACAATCCCTTTATAATGAAAGTTGAACTTACAAATGTAGAATTATGTACAAAATATAACTGCATTCAAAAATAAAACAATGTAAAACTTTAGAGCCTACAAGTCCACTCAGTCCTACTTCACCCAATTGCTCAGACAAACAAGTATGGTTACAATTTGCAGGAGATAATGCTGCCCACGTCTTGTTTACAATGTCACCTGAAAGTGAGAACAGGCGTTCACATGGCATTGTTGTAGCCAGCATCGCAAGATAGTTATGTACCAGATGTGCTAAAGATTCATATGTCCCTTCATGCTTCAACCTTCATTCCAGCAGACATGCGTCCATGCTGATGATGGGTTCTGCTCGATAACGATCCAAAGCAGAGCGGACCGACGCATGTTCATTTTCATCATCTGAGTTAGATGTCACTAGCAGAAAGTTGATTTTCTTTTTTGGTGGTTCGGGTTCTGTAGTTTCTGCATCTGAGTGTTGCTCTTTTAATACAGCTGAAAGCATTGGCCACACCTCGTCCCTCTCAGATTTTGGAAGGCACTTCAGATTCTTAAACCTTGGGTCGAGTGCTGTATCTATCCTTAGAAATCTTACATTGGTACCTTCTTTGTGTTTTGTCAAATCTGCTGTGAAAGTGTTCTTAAAACAAACATGAGCTGGGTCATCATCCAAGGCTGTTATAACATGAAATATATGGCAGAATGTATGTTAAACAGAACAGGAGACATACAATTCTCCCCCAAGGAGTTCAGTCCACATTATTTTTTTAACGAGCATCATGTCCTCTGGAATGGTGGCTGATGCATGAAGGAGCATACAAATGTTCAGCATATCTGGCATGTAAATACCTTGCAACGCCGGCTACAAAAGTGCCATGCGAATGCCTGGCCTCACTTTCAGGTGACGTAAATAAGAAGCAGTCAGCAGTATCTCCTGTAAATGTAAACAAACTTGTTTGTCTTAGCAATTGGCTGAACAAGAAGTAGGACTAAGTGGACTTATGGGCTCTAATGTTTTACATTGTTTGGTTTCTGAGTGCAGTTATGTAACAAACAAAAAATCTACATTTGTAATTTACACTTTCACAAAAAAGAGATTGCACTACAGTACTTGTATGAGGTGAATGGAGAAATACTATTTCTTTTGTTTATCATTTTTACAGTGCAAATATTTGTAATAAAAATTATATAAAGTGAGCATTGTACACTTTGTATTGTAATAGAAATCAATATATTTGAAAATGTAGAAAAACATCCAAAAATTAAATAAATTTCAATTGGTATTCTATTGTTTAACAGTGCGATTCATCACAATTTATTTTTTTAATCACATCAGTTAACTGTGATTAATCAACAGCCCTAATGCTTTCCCTTCAAGGTTGTGATAATGAGTTAGTCAAGCTATATTTTCTTGCATAATTTAAATGTTACAGGCCAAATTCTTTGCAGGTGTAAATGAGCGCTGTTCTATGGAGCTGTGCTCATTTATTCCAGGAGAAAATTTGGTCACACACATCTAACATGAAGAACAGGGTACGGTGGATCGAGTCTTACTAGCCTGGGTGTATTCTGCATCATATGAGAGGCTGGTTCAATAGTCACCTTGCTCCTCTCACTCCTGAGAAAAAGCATTGCTCACTGTATTGTGGGAGTGTAATGAACTGTTCCTGGGAGAGAGAGAGGACCACTTGCTATACTAAAGCACATCCTGCTCTTTGCTTCATAGAGTAGCCATGGAGTTGATCACAGAGGAAGATATTTCCTACAGGCAGGAGAAAGAACACCATAAATAACATCTGTTAATAGTGGTAAAAAGTGGTGACACCTCCCCTCCCCTTTATAATACAGAGATGAAGATCCTTAAGATTCAGTTTGGAACAAAGAAAGGAAACTGCAATGAGACAACACTGCTGCTACAAAATGTGTATATGTACATGTATGTCATTTTTGTTTGTGACACTTCTTTAGCTCTCACTTGCCTATTGAGTGACTAGAGGACACTGTTAGAGAATTTGGTGGAATACTACTGCGAATGACAAATCGCTACAACACATTTTAAAAACAAAAATCCCACAGTATACAAGTGAGTAAGCATCATCCATGCTCAAAGTCCGTCTGGCCATTTAAGAATTTCTGTGTATTACCCCATCATTCCCATGTTAAACACTGATGCTAGGAAAAAACAAAAATATTGATGTAAAGAAGTCACACATTGTAGCACAAGACCCAGCCATTGATCTTCTTTGCTGTTTCCTGCACAGCAGCATGGAAATAATTTAACGAAGTATATAAGAGTGAAATGCTAATGTATTCACTGCTGCCCACTCTGTATTTTTCTGTAATTGCATTATTATTGGCTAAATATATTATGATTACATTAGTCTTAACCTCAGTGACCTTCGTTAAATTTCCTCCTCCGTCTTTAGGAATTGTACAAATAAATAACTGATTTTTCAACTCACACTGAACAGTACTTAAAAAAAAAAAAAGGTTGAATTTTGAAACTAAGCTGTGAACCACGGTGCCTAGGGTGCCAAGGCCAGGGCAGGCTGCTAAAAGGAGAGCAGATTCTCCCAAAACTGTGCTCCTGCCCCCACACTGGTTATCAGGAAGCTAAAAAATAAAGAAATCACTCAGCTCCCTTTGAATTCCAGTCTCTGGCTCCCAAACAGCAAATAGGTCCAGTAACGTGAGAAATTATTTAAAACTCTAGTCACTATACAAAATGTTCTTCTGATCCCCCAAAGGGCCACCCACATAACCAGCTCAATATTAGGTTGGATCTTACCCAAAATACCATGCTGCCAACAAATCTTTTAGTATCTAAAACCAAAGGTTTATTAGAAAAGAATGAGAAGAGAGTCATTAAATGGTGAAAGCAATTATATACATACATAAGATTTCAGAGTCCATATATCAGGTTCTTAGCAGCACTGGTGAGTTTGCTGGCTTGTGGAGTCCCTCTGGAACACATCCAAAGCTTGGATGGGTCTATCAGTCCTTTGTTCAAAGCTTCAGTTCGTAGAGAAGTTACTCCAGAGGTGAGAAGCAGGATTGAAGACAAAATGGAGAAGATGCAGCTGCCTTTCAATAGCCTTTGCCATGTGGCCTGTACGTCTTCTGTCCCAAACCCAAGCTCACGGGCAAGAAAGAGCTCTTGTAATCCCCTGTCCACAGGCATGTCCCTACATGTCTTGCTGACTCATAGGCATAGCTCCTGCCTTCTCTCAATGGGTTCATTGTCGAGCTGATTGGCCATCCAACGGCTAGATAGTCCCAGACAGATTGGCCTCAGCAATGTCATCCAGAAACAGCACAGGTTGGAGATGCAGATATATCATACATATTTATAACTCACGATACAAAGATGATACATACATATAAACAAGGCCATTATACTTAGCAAATCAGAACTTTTCCACTGATACCTTACATGGCACATCTTGTAAGATTCATTGCAATTTTATAATATTGGTATCAATGATATTATAAATGGGCATATTCCATACAGCATCACATAAGCTATCAATGGTTTAAACAGATATGAAGAAAACAGTTGCTGTAAAGGTAACAACTAGACTACCACCTGTTTTAAATAAGATGTAAAAGTTTCCTATAGAAACAAAGACAATACAAGTAAATACTGGGGATTTTTTTCCATTCACAGCCAATTGAACCCCACACAGAATTAAAAGTGTGGTATGCTGCAGATTACGCCAAGTTTATGGAAGCTTCTGCAGTTGTCATCAAAGAAGAATCTGATATCTGTGCTTTATCACCAGTTTTAACAACAGTAAGTGTCCAAGGACTGCATCCAACCCAACACCTGGCCTTATCTCAGAAAACCTACCTGCTCACCTTGCCTCAGTTCACATGACAGAAAATGATTGTCAACTAGTCTAACACTGAATTAACAGTTTCAATCAAATAGCAAAAGAAAAGTATTATCTGGAGCTCTATTACTTTGTGTACTGTACTTGTACTCTAAATAGGGCACGATACAGTGTTGGCATGTAATGGTAAACTCTGGAAAGATTAGCATGCTGGCATATATTCTTGGGAAACTGAGTACACCAGTCCTTAAAATTCTCCTTTCACCCGTTCACTGCTCTAGCTTGTTATGTCCTAATTCTTTGGCATACATGTGCTGCATGTTACAGCGCCCGCCCCCTGCCCCCTACCCCCCCCCCCTGTGTTAAAGCACAAAAGCTATTACATCTCATTATTTTCTTCTTTCTCCATGTCTCTATGGAGAGAGACAGACAGACAGACACCCTGCATTGTTGGCAGAATAATCCCACAGGCCCATGGCTTCTGTACAGCTGCAGTATCACAGTTTGCTCTCAGTCTAAAATTAAGTGGAAAACTTGACTCAGTCTTAACTATGGAATTGTGACTATCGCTTCCATAATAAGAACAAGCACAGAGACACTGAAATTTACTATGCAGAGGGGAAAAAAAATAACCAAAGGCTCAACAAGAGCTAGAATAGCAATAAACACCAGACAACAACATGGAAATAATCATTTACCCAATCATTTGTTTTCATGCTTGTACACAGCTAAGAATAATATGTCTCCAACTGAACAGCAGTCTGGGCAGCACAGTTACGTGCTGTGCCTGTCACCAAGGGAAGTGAGAGGCCTTGGGAAGACCAAAGACAACATAGGGCTGGTGAGAAGAATGTGACCTCTCTCTCTTTGTAATGGTTAATCTGAGGGAACTGTTTCTGTTCTCATTGCAGAGAGAGTGTGCCGACGCCTGGATATGCTCCAATTGTAGTAACGTTTTTGGGACTTTAGCTCTGCTGGAATCTCACCAATGCATCAGTAAAGACAAAGCACTTCTCACCAGCTTCAGACCAGCAAATAAATTAGAACCTCTAAAAGCAAAGGGCAAAACCAAAGGCAAACTGAGTGAAACTGGCCTGGGCGCAAGCATTGTCCAGTGCTATGGGGCCATTTCCTGTTCCCCTAGTGCAAAGTCTACCTGTGCCAGCTCAGGAAGTGTTTGCGGTTCCATTGTGAGATTTGTGCCTACATGGAGAAATGGTCAGTCTTCACTACTAAAGGAAAGAGAAGCGAAGCAGCCAGACAGTTATCGCTGCCGCCTCTGCGGGAAGATATTTGTTTCTGTTGAAAAGCTCACAGCCCACACTTATGCCCACACAGGAGAGCGTCCCTACAGGTGTTCCCAGCAGGGATGCACGAAAGCTTTCATTTCCAAATACAAACTGATAAGGTACATCTCCTGAAGGGATAGCAGCCCTTCCCAGTGGGGGTGTGGGGAGGAAAAGATGTATTTTCTTGGCATGCACTAGTGACAACTACTCGCTAAACTCCATTGGTCATATTTCTATATAGAATGTTAAGATTTAAATAAATGCTGTTCAAGGTGCGTGAATAATACAGATTCACTGCCATCTGTTGCTTATAAGGATCCATTCTGATAGCATGTGCATACACCTGAGCCCCAAGTCAGGGGGCTTATATATGGCTCCTTTCTTCTAAGGAACTTGAGCACTTCACAAACATTAAATTGATTACGTCACACCTCACTTCTGAGAGTAAGTGTTATACCCCTTTTACAGATGAGAGAACAGGCACAGGGAGGATAAATGAGTTTTCCATTGTATTCCAACGAGTCAGTGGCAGGACAATAGGTATTCCAACTCCCAGTCCTCTGTTTTAGGCACTAGCTAGCCTCTGCCTCTCAAGTACAATTATAATAGCTATTCAAAAGGTGTTTCTTGCAGTAATGTTCATCTAGCTCTACAGACTATAAAAAAACCCACCAGTTTGCTATTTAACAGAGTCTGGCTTTTTGAAAACTGTTACCCTAGAGAGCGTAAGTGCCTTCATATTGTGAAGCTGTATCCCACTTGTGTGCATGAGTTCTGTAAACATGTTGTTATTCTTCTGTCTTAGGCACTCAGCCACCCACTCTCCACAGAAATCTCACCAATGTGGTTACTGTGAAAAGACCTTCCACAGAAAGGACCATCTGAAAAATCACCTTCAGACTCATGACCCCAACAAAATGGCCTTCAAGTGTGAAGAGTGTGACAAGAAGTACAACACCAAGTTGGGTTACAAACGACACCTGGCTCTTCATGCAGCCACCAGTGGGGACCTTACCTGCAGGGTGTGTTCCCAAGAGTTTGGAGGCACTGAAATGTTGTTAGAACACCTCAAAACTCATGCAGGGAAGCCAGGCAGCAGCACCAAGGAAAAGAAACATAAGTGTGACCATTGTGAACACTATTTCTATACCCGCAAAGATGTGCGGCGTCACATGGTGGTTCACACAGGCTGCAAGGACTTCTTGTGCCAGTTTTGTGCCCAGAGATTTGGGCGCAAGGACCACTTGACTCGCCACATGAAGAAAACACATCCACAAGAGCTGCTGAAGGGCAGGTTGCAGAATGGTGACTTGCAGGGTCTCTTTGCCCCTTTCTCTCCATTCAGACTGAAGGAAGATGCCAGTATCCTGTCCTCTTTTCCTGAGAGGGCTTCTATGCAGCATGGGCTTCCGAACACATTAGAAGCAGAAGAGTATAGCAGCCCACATATTAACTGTCAACAAAGCCTACAGTCTACTCATCCCTTTGAACCTCCTCATTTGCTAAGGATGAGCTGTGTAGATAGTCTCTCAGCCACTCATTCTAAACCATCTCCACCATCAATTCCTACCAACCAGAATCTTCATCGGCACAACAAATATGAACTGAGTACTACCTCATTTGCACCAACATCCCTCAAAAGCCTACCCATCGAAGTGGATGTTAAAGCTCATAATGTGAATTTGCTCGAGGACCTGCCTTTACCAGAACCTCACAAAGTCAATCTGGAAGAAGCTTCCTTGGGGGCTGCAGGCGATGCTGGCAAGTACATATTGCACAAGGAGACTGTGACAACAGTTGAATCTATTAGCATGCCCTCCATGGATCTTACTCATATACTGGGTTTCTGGCAGTTCCCTCAGAGTGATAACCAGAATAACAGTGGGGACATCACAATGGCATTTGGTCAGGAGGAAGCACCACACAGGCTGAGCTGCCTCAGCCATCAGCAAGGTGCACAGCTGGCTCTGGGTGGAGTGGCCTTAAATCAGCTTCATCATGTCCCACATTCTTTTCCATCCAGTACAAATTCTGCAACATTGCCTCATTTTCACCATGCATTCAGATAACTACCACCTTTTTTAGGGCTCCTTTTCATACCCAGATTTGCGAAGGAGAAAAGCCCTAAGCCATCTTAAGAACGTTTAAAAAGGACATTATAAACATTGTAGAATGTTCCAGGAAGTAACAGAATGAATAGATGTATTTTATATAATACTTACTAGTTTCGTAGCATATGACACTTGCAACAATGCCATATTTTCCCCTCAATACCCTCCATGTTTTTACACTTAAACCAAATAGTTGAACTAGTGTTCTCCAGTGGAAATACAAATGTATCTATAACAGGCACAAAACATGATGGCTGCTATGGGGATGAGGGTGGGAAACATAACTTTTTAAATGAGCCATGACTTGCAGTAATTTTATACAAATGACTTGAACATTGTTCATATGTAGAATCTAGGAGGGTCCAGTAGGTTTTTATGGCAAGCACTTAATCACTGAGCTTTAAGAATTTTTAATTTAAGTTGTGACTTCCTTCACTTATTTTATCTCCTCTCACTTTTTTGAAAACAAAACATGGCTGTGGTGACTAAGTTGAACTAGAATTTGTTTTTTTGAAGTGCACTTCTGCTGTGTGTGGAGATACGGTGTTTTCTCCAGGGCTGGAAATAACTACCACCGTCGTAGCCTAAGAATAGATGTCTTGTATAAACGGCTTTTTCTGAAGAGGCAATACGTGGTTAAGACAATACATTGATTTTAATTTAGACCTTGATCCTGCAAGATGCTAGGCATTCTGGGCCTAATCCAAGAAAGCACTTAAGCCTATACTTAGCTTTAAGCGCAAGTAGTCCATTGACTCCAGCACACTCAGCCACTTGCACAATCTAACTCTCAGGCTATGTCTACACTAGCACTTTTGTCGGCAAAACTACACCCCGACTAACAAAAGTTTCACTGACAAAAACGCCGGTGTGGACAGCACTATGTCAGCAGGAGATGCTCTCCCGCTGACTTATCTACCATTGCTTGTTGGAGGTGTTTTAATTATGCCGGCTGGAGAGTTCTCCCCCTCTGGCATAGAGTGACTACACAGGAGACCTTACAGCAGTGCAGCTGTGCGACTGTACAGTCCGTAGTGTAGACATAGCCTCAGTAAAGATTATGTTCCCCATCCAAGCAAGCTCTGTTCACTTTTGGTTGATGATGGCCTTTGTTTCATCCAGAAAAGTGATTCATTGTAAAAACAACAAGGAGTCTGGTGGCATACAGACTAACACGCTACCCCTCTGATACTTATTCAGTGTAACAATCTGTAGCATAAATGTTTCTTGGCAGCTAAACTACACTAGCAACATAAGCTTGATGTTACAGTCCTCAACATGTGCATGGTAGCTTTTGTTGCAGTCAATGACTGGTCTGCATCCAGAAGGACTGCAAGATCAGACAAGGTCCCACCGTGTGTCTTCCACAGCTACATACAATGTCTAACCCCCACTAAAGTTGGATAAATATATAGCAGGTATGAAAATGTTAAGTAATTTTATATTTATGGTTTCAGCACAGTAGTATTTAACAGGTTATATCTGGCCATTAAGTTACATTCATATGTATAAACCAAAACAGAAATATGCTCTTTTTTGTTTTTGTAAGTTGTCTGTATATATTTCCTTTCTAAATGTCTTCAGGTGTCAAAGTGCCATCAACTGACAAGGTATGGTGAACTCATGCAAATTGCAAAAGATACCACACTTAAAAAAATTTTTTTTTTTTTAAAAGAAAACCTTCAGGGTCCATCTATCTCTCGTAAACCACTTCACAAAGATCCTGTGTTTTTAGTTTGCTGCTTTTGCTGATTACTTTTCTATGTTTTCTTTTGATCCAGAAGAACAAAGTCTAAATCCCACTAGGTGCTCTCTGCCCTCAAGTCCCATTGTTTAAAAAGAGATTGATTTATTAATGAACTACTAAAAAAAGCCCTTCTCTGAAAAATTCAAGAATGATAGTGTATGTCTGTTGTGCATTTTTAAATTATTCTAGGACGTTATGGATAAAGCTTTAAAAATTTGTTGTGTGGGTGTAGATTTAGATTAATTCATTTACTGTGTTGTCCTTTCTAATCTTGCATATTGTATTCACTTTGCTTCATCCACTATTGTATCTCTTTAACAATATGGATGTTTATAGGCATTGTCTAAACATATAATATTAATGAGCATTTTATCAGCTTGGTTTGAACTTCTGCAAAGAGGTGTAACTAAATATTTAATAATTTTCCTTCACTTAAAGGTCATGGTTAAAAGAAAATGCAACACATGAGCTAGAATCATGATCATGCTCTGTATGGAAATGTTCAGATTTACGATCCATCAAGAGAACCTGTTCCCATACCTGCTTTCAAGCTATTCTGAAATACAGCATTGTGCCTTCTAGAGGGGAGCTAGTCTTCTGGAGTTAATGAAGAGTGCTTCAAATTCAAATAAAAAGTAGCATGAATCACCTGTGTTACTAGAGCTTCTAGATAGCATGAGGTAATGGTGATTAAAACATTCTAATGAAAAAGGTAATTGGTTATTTTAATCCTGTCAATAAATTCAAAATTAGCTTCTAACATTCCTGAAAGCTTAAATGTAGGGGAAGCCTGAACACAGGCCCTGTTTTGTATTGAATCATTAAGGGCACCACAAGCCACGTATCCAGTAAGAACTTTTATCTTTAGAATCTCAGAACACTACAAATACTAAAGATTTGTGTCATTTATTTTAAAGTAGGAGTTTGGGGCAGGGGGAGATTTTCTTTTCTGTAAATTTAGTGTTGTTAAGAAGGCCTCCACTGAGAGCCCTGGAGCTTGAGGTGTGTTCATCCATAGGACAAGAACAATGCCCACAATAGCTTCCTCCACACTGCCCATTTGCCTCAACAGACCATCTCTTTTATGCAAAGATTTCAGTGACTGAGCTGCTTTAGGAGCGAGCCGTCATGTCAGTGGAAGGAAAATGTTGATATGTGAAGTGACGTTATTATGCTGGGGGTGTGTTTGAAATATCTGAGCTTGGGAGACCAGTCTGGAAACCAAGAACTCCCAAATTCTTATCCCAGCGGTGTCACTTCACCTATCTGGCTCCATTTCCCAATCTGTAAAATGAGGATAGTGACACTTACCTACTTCACAGGTTTGTGTGAACATTAATCTCTAGATAGCTTTGAAAATGTAAAGTACTATATAAGTGTGAAGCAGTATTCTGTACAGTATATAGCCCCATACCTGTGTATTTTTTCTGTAAACAGGATTATTTTTTTTCTAGATTATCGGACACAACTCCATTGCGAGGGTTTCATTTATGCCTAAACGCAAAACAGAAGTATGGATTAGTGTAGATTATCCTATACCAGCACAGCAAAATTGCTTACCTTAACACAAAGTTGCAGAAGTCATGTATACATTTATGCATTTGGTTTTGCACAGTTGTAAATCTGGGTGCCCATTGTGAGTATTAATACTATTTCACTTCAAGTTGGGGCACTTTGTAAACTCAATAAGATGATCAAGTTATAATAGCATCCTGGGCAAAATTTTCAAAAGTGCCTAAATGATTGATGGGAAAAATCAAGAGGACTTAAGCTCCTAAATCACCAATGCACTTTTGAAAAGCTACTCTGCCCCAGGTAGACTCTTAACAAAGGGAGTTGATTTAAATCACATTAAGCTACCTCAGCATACAAATCAAGCTACCTCTATGACAGTTTCCCAACACAATTTTGTCATTTCACTTCACACCACCACTCCTTATATCCTTTATCTTGGTGGAGTCTGTAATAAAGTCTCAAACAAATTTAGAACAGAAAAGTGAAGTTACACTTATCACTACAGTAATGCATCTCACAGAACTCCTCTGGTTCAATAACTGAGCATGAGTTACACATTGTCACTATTCTGGTTAATACACAGCCAGTGTTAGCACGCCATAAACCGTGCTTCCAATGGCGGGGGTTAGTGGGAAGGAAAGAGAAGGAGACAGCTGGGGATGACACACATTAGAACAAGGATGATCTTAAAATCAGAGCTCAGCATCATGTAACTGTTCTTCTCCCCAACTTGAGTACTGAAGCAGCTGATTTTTCTTGTAGTATTTATGTGCATCACTCTTACATTGTCAGCTTCCCAACATGGCGGTGCTGCTGATGTTTATCCTTCGTGTAAACCAAAACCACAAAGGGTACATCAGTACTGCAATCATGGGGTGTGGTTACAGCTCAAATAGACACACGTGAGCTAGCTTAAATCTAGTTAGTTTGGGTACTGGAGCAATGAAGCCGTGGCAGGGTGTGCTTTAGTGTGGGCTGTGCCAGCTCACCCAGAACCCTAATTGCTCATGGAGCTGGCGCGCACTGCTGCAGCTTCACTACTTGTGGACCCTAGCTAGATTAAAGTTAGCTCAGGCATGTCTACTCAAGCTGCAATCACACCTCATGGTTGCAAAGTAGATGTACACTAAGTTTTACATATCCTGCTCTTTTTTCAGGAACAGGCAGGATAAGTTACCTAATTAGGCCTGAGAGACAAGGTGGGTGAGGGAATATCTTTTATTGGACCCACTTCTGGTGGTGAATGAGACAAGTTTTCGAGCTACACAATGCTCTTCTTCAGGCCTGGGCATCTTCTTGCTGGTTTGTTGAATCCATCTTGTTTCCTGGAGATAACCTCTATCACAGCTGACACTTAGGATTGAACTAGTGACCTCAAGTGCTGATTACATTCATCCCTACAACTAGAGTTAAAGAGGCAGGCTCTATAGCAAACCCATGTCCTCTGTGGAATGAGCATATAGGGAGAGACACCACACAGTGATCAGTGGGTTACACCATCATATCACTTTAATATCTAATATGTCCTCTACTGCAAGACTAGTTTTTGTGCTTGGAGTAGACAATGATCTAATCACTCTTTTCTATCTCTAATATGAACCTACATGTCACTTTAAAGCAATACAGTACAACAGGGCAAAATACCTCATAACGTCTGTCAATTCTCACAATCCCATTTGAGACCTAAAGTCTAAAATAGTTTCTCTGTGTAATATTTCCATGTAGTTTATAAACAACATTTTATTGTAATAAAATAAGCTATGTAGAGCAGAATTATTTTAATGTGTAATGCTTACTATGTTAATCAGGGGCTACTAACTGAAAGCCTATGGTGACAGCATGAGAGAGACCAGGCAAGTGGTAGAACCTCAGATCTTACATGACGTGATGGCTTTGACTCTTTCTAACAAAGATTTGAGTGCAAATCAGGACTATAGCTATCAGGCATGGAAAGTGGGTCTCTTGGAGCCTGCTTCATGGAAAGCAGTGGGAGTTTTGCATTTGAAATCAATGTGTGCGAATCAGGCAGGATGAAATACTGTATGTTATATTTATATAAAATTAGCACAACAGTATTCTATTCACTCATTGAGTGGGGCAGGGGGAGAACCTTTTCAGAGGCAGCGTGGCCCACTGGACAGGGCCTTGGCTAGACAACAGTAGGACTTAAATTCTAGGCTCAGCTCTGCCATTGACCTTGTGATCTTGAACAAGTTATTTCACCTTTCAGCACTTCACTATCTATAACACAGGAATGACAATACTTCCCTCCTATGCACACTATAGATAAAACGTGCTATATAACAGCTAATGAATAGAATAACCACCAACAGGCAGAGATTAGAAAATATAATGGAGAAAACTGGGTGAATTAATTGCCATATATTAAAGGTGTACTCTTGGAAAGGTATGATAGAAACTATGAAACCCCAGCAAAAAAAACACTAAGAGGCTCATATTACATCACTCACAGCAAGAGAAGATTTGCTATAGGAAGCAAAGGTTACACCTACATTTAAACATGTAACTAGAACGCACCGTCCATCCCATATATAAAAAGCTAAAATTC